AAGACTTTTTCGTGCCTCCTGTCATGATAGACACGCTGACCCAATTTCATCTTGATCAATGAAACTGACGTTGGGCCCCCCCGCCCCCTCTTTGGTTTACAAATGAGCCCAACGAAATCTGCCTAGCAACAGCAGAATGCCCAAACAACAAGAGGCCTTTGGGTTCTTATTTAATTACTTATCAAGGCTCTGGCTGCCAAAAGCATCCAAATGAGGCCGTCGAAATAAATGTATGCCAACTGCGCTTTGTAATCCGGCCAAGGAAGACGGCAGTTGAGGGAGCACTTAAATGCATCACATAAATCTCTTTGCATTGTTCGGTATTTTCCTGTCAGACATGACAATGGCTAAAGGCTGCGACACACAATGTTTCCATTATTTTTTTTTTCTAGCTCATTCCGCCCAAGATAAACATCAGCGCCCACTGACTCTTGTTTTAATCAAGTAATTACGTAACTTCCATACCTATTTGGGACAACCTTTTATCAGGACTTCCGGGATTTTCCACTTGCTATTTTTGTCCACAAAAAATGCCAACTGTTGTGTTTTCTTTATAATTTTCCTTTTTTTTTTTTTTGAGTCGATGAACGTCATTTTTTGCCATATGTTGTAATGCATTGATGTGTAAAAAAATAACTTGAAAATTTCAGATTTATTACTGATTTTTAAGGGGAGTGAAGTTTGGATGTGATTATCTTTTTTATGTGTGTTGGGGGAATAAAAATGCAAAGATTTTGCTGATTTTTCTTTCCCCGTTTTTTATTTTTTTATTTTAAAGAGCTCATATGTCTGAGCCAACATTAATCCAATTAATCGGTCGGCCCAATTTTATACAATACAATGCTCTGTCTTTATCATGAACTTAAAGCAAAGGGAAAAAAATAAATAAAATAATCGAGGTGTTTTATTTGGTGCCTGGAACGGATTAATGGCCTGTTAATTAATTTCGATGAGGTCACAGAACGAATTAATCCCATAAATCAGGGTAGCGCTGGACAAATAAAGGAACTTGATGTGGAACTGCGTCGAAAGAAGGCCTATAGCGTGGAGTGGGCTCACTCTTCAAGACTTTTCACGCCCCTGTTCCGAGCTTGGACACCGGTGTTCGTGTGTGTGTGTGTGTGTGTGTGTGTGTGTGTGTGTGTGTGTGTGTGTGTGAAGGGTTGTTCAAGGGGGTGAAAGGCAAAAGTACAGGGCGGGTCACAGAGAGTGGACGCTGGCCAGGAGGCTCTGTGGAACTGGTTTTGTAAAGCACGCTTCCTGCGGGAGGAATTCCTCCGAGGTTCGGAAATGCTGTGGAACAATGAGGAGGTTGCCCCCCCGCCCCACCCACTCACACACACACACCAAAAGAAAAAAAAAAAAAAAAAAAAAAAAAATACATTTTGCACATGCTATACCAACAGCCTACAGTGGTGCGAATAGAATTTGCGATCAAGTCACCAAAGCTTGGAACCGAAATCTGAATTCAAAAACTGGTCAAATCAATTTTATGAATTGCGTTAATCTATTCCAGCCAGGAAAAAAAAACATAATTAACAAAATAATGATAAAAAAAAAAACATTTTTGAAACTTCAATCACATAATTTATATCGACTCATCTCGGCTCGTCTGATGGCCCTCGTCGGATGCATCCGGCACCGACGTTTCCGGCCAGAACAGACTCGCCTTGTAACGGAGAAGCCAATTCCCGCCCCCCCCCAAAATGAATTCCGGTGGAGATAAAAGGCGGGAGGAGGCTGAAGAGCGACGAGACACACACACACACACACACACACACACACACACTCTCTCTCTCTCTCTGATGCCTCTTCTGAGAAAGGCCAAATTGTGATCCATCCCATACCCACTCGTCCCTAATACAAGCTCCATGAGAAACATGTGGGTCCGAGAGCCGCACCCCCCCCACCCCTCCAATTGCGATTATTTTTATCAAGGTCCTCTTCTAGGGTACTTTTTTAGGCCCAGCGCACCCCAGAGGAAGCTTGAGAATTTGAAATTAAAACATACTCGAGATACTGCCTGGGTTTCCCAAACAAATTGTAGTATGCACACTCACGGGGGGGTGGGGGGGGGGTGCGCCGGAATTATCACATCCAGCATTTTCAATCTGTGAGAGTTGATTTTATTATTGTTCCACACTACAATGAGACTGTTAATCTCACGCACCCCCAACGGGGTGCACATCATGTATTGGTAATCTAAAGCACAAGACGGCATAATGTTGCAAATCATTTGAAAAAGATGACCCAAAATCAGGAAATGCACTAGAAGAGCCTTTCCCGAACTTGTTTACACCAAGCGCACCCCTCCAAAAGTGTGTTTTTTTTCCCCGCACATTGGTATGCATGTCTCGTTTTACCACATTTCCTGACATCCTTTATCAGGCAATGCACTAAAAGAACCTTTCCAAACTTGTTTCCACCATGCGCACCTACAAGTAATTTGTGGATTTTTTCCACTCCAGATGGGAATACTGAATGGGGTGTGCATGGTGGGTGTGCTGCATTTCCCGACTTTTTTGTCAGGAAATCCACTAAATCAGCCGTTTCGAATTTAATTTACACCATGCGCACCCCAAAGTTTGTTTTCTTTCCACATATGGGGAGACTGACAGAGTTTCCTGACTTTTTTGGGGTCAGGAATTGCACTTAAAATTCTTTTCGAACATATCGACACCACGCACACCCCCCAAGTGTTTTTTTTTCTCCACAATTGGAGATGCTGAAGGGGGTGCACATGGCTCATTTTATTGCAATTTTACTGTTTTTGTGAGAAAACTCACGAAAAACAGCTCCCACAAACATGTACAAAACATGCGCACCCCCATTTTTTCCCACATCCAGGTATGCATGTCTCGTTTGACAGCATTTCCTGACTTACTTTGTCAGGAAATTTACTTAGAGAGGCTTTCCAAACTTGTTTACACCATGCACACTCCCTAACGTTTTTTTCCCCCTTCAGGGATGCCAAAGGTCCGTCTTGTAATTTGTCAAGTGGTTTTATCAACTTGTACGGGTATTTTTTTTTCCAACTCTTTCTTATTTTGTTGTTATTTCACTGCATTTCAGTCTACACTGACTCTGACTTTATGAGTGATGCACCTGCAACATGCACCGTGACATTTTCAGAACACCGCAGCCAACTCTTCACTTCTCCTTATCTGACCACCAAGCGTGCCATTACTTTCGCTTAATTTTCAAGAAAAACTCACCGAAAGGAACTCCAGCGTGGAGACATAATCCCGTTCTGTTTTGAGAAGCTCGTTGAGGACGCACACCCGCAAACGGAGCTGCTTGTCCAAATCCTTCGTGTTCTCACTTCTGTGCTCGCTTCTGCTCTCCTCGGTCATGGTGTCAACCAAAAAAAAAAAAGAAAAATAATGAAGGCAAACAAAAGGATAATTACACTTACTCGGGCATAGTTAAAATAAGAGTGAGGCTGGTTGCTAACTTTGCAGCAACTTCAGGACAAAGGTAAGTATAAAGAGTGGTGAAAAGTTGGCTAACACAAAGCGTAAAGTGGAGGAAGGATGCAAGCCGGTTTAAAGTGAGCCAATGTGATTCCCACATAGCTTTTTGGGACGAGTCTGCTCGCTAAGTGGCGGTCAAGTGAGAGTCAATTAACAAGCTAATTCCTGGTAAAGTTTTCAAAGTAAACTCACACGGTCTTCCGGTTTTAAGAAAACCACAACCAAACTGAGTCATTGCAATCTCGAAATTCATCAAATAATATTATATAAATAAATATGTCTATAATTATGCATTCTATCCTGCCCGTGTGATCGTTATTGTGCTGTTGTGTACCCTTACTTTGTTAGTTCAATCACTTGTTTTCCCGTTTTCCAAAACCGTGACTAATTAAACACATTTATTTAAATTTTTCACAAACGACACAACTAAAAGAGGCAATATTACTTTAATCACTGTAACTACTGTATGAATAATTACTCTACAGTACATTCCATTTTTTGACATAAGAGCAGAGCTAAACTTGACCAAACATTGCCCTCTAGTGGCCATATCTGTTATTGCAAGTCCCTCACCATGGCTGTGATGTATATTTGCCGCCACTAGAGGGGGGCCATTGATTTTAACTAAAATAATTTTCCTCACTGTCTTCAATATACACACACAACTAAAATTAGAAACACACACACACACACACACACACACACACACACTTAAAGCCATTAGATGAAAAATACAACACTACTTGAACTAACTAAAACTAAGGTGGCTCATCAAGTGTGAGGAGAAACGGAACATTCCCGTGCTGCTGTCACAGTGAGTGAGGGGAGGAGCTTGCTGTTATTTTGGGGCTACGTAGTACAGTATACTATCCAGCAATTGGGCGTAAAACAGGTGGCGCTCTTGTTGACATAGAAGGCAAGCATGTGAAAAATCTGCTGCCCTTGCGGAAAAATCACAAAAGAAACAAGACGGTGGTTAACTTTCGATATTAAATCAGCCCGTTGGAGTAAAACAGAAGTACAGAACTTCGTGGAGTGAGACGCGCACGTTTGCCGACATCATTAAACGCTCTGAACATTTTCATTATATAAGCAAACACAATGCCCATTTCTCATATAATATTAATAATAATAATCATCATCATCATCATCATACGAAAAATATTACTAAGTAACGATTTCGGTCTAAAAATACAAAGATTTTTTTTAAATCAACTTCAATAAAAATGTTTTTGTCTTACTAGGAAAAAATACACACATATTGAGGAAAAATACGAACGTATTCGGGGAAAAAAATGCTACTATGTTAAATTGGGGACCGTCATGCAAAATGTAAGGAGCACAAATTGTCACAAATTAGCATCGTAAAAATTCATGAGCGTTAAACTAATCAAACACATCGGACTATTTGAAATATTGTATACCTATATGTATCAAATATCAGTTCAAGATTAGATTTGTGTCCCGTTTATTTCTAATTTGGAGTCTCGAATCGCACTTGTGAGTGCGCATGCGCAGTGGGGGGGGGGCTCGCCACTGCGTCCTACGTGAGCCCTCCTCGTCACTGTCGTCAGCCAAGCAGCCTGGTTTAAAAACAGGCGAGGTGGTAAACGCTCCCCCTGCCTTCCCCTCCTCCTCCTCTTCTTCACATTTGGCACCTCCTGCGCATCAGGTGTCAAAAACCGTTCTTCCAGTCTGAGGTGGACCGAGTGGAAGTGGACTCCAGTCACTGGAGTAATTTCATCCATAGAACTTTGACCCCCCCACCTCACATGACATGATGACAGTGGACTTCGGGTGGCCATTTCGTCTTTTTTTGCTGCCAAGTGCGATAATCTTCAGCGCTGTGCTATGCGCACACTCACTCTACAAGAACCGCTACGCTGGGTGAGTAAAGAAGAAGACTCCCAGCCCCCACCTCACCTCCTTTTCCATTCATGTGTGGCCATGAGGGATGAGACGCAATTGCAATCAGATGTGTCGCAGTGTGGATTTTCTCATCTGGAGCGAACAAAGAAAGGCTCTATATGTGCTTTTTGTTGATATAAGACCCGCATGCAAGAATGTTACGCTTCAAACTTCTCCACCTGGACGTTTTTTGTTTTTTTTTTTGTTCGAGGAACTCATGGGAAGGCATTTCATCTCTTCTCAAGTCACTTCCAGAAAGTGTTTGAAGTAAACGTTTGAAAATTCCTAGCTGTGTACAAGTGGAAAATACCAATGAGTATGGGGCATACTGCACGAGGGTGGGGGTGTAAAAAGTTGTAATCTTTTGGGGAACAAAAATTGGGGAAATTTAAATTGTAATATTCCAAGGAGAGTCCTATTTTTTTAGATTATCGTCATGATATTGCAAGGGCCGTAGTATGTTTTTTTTTATTACGAGAATAAAGTGCGACATATTTCAGATTAAAGTCGTAATGTCCAAAAATTAACATTTTACATGAAAGTCGAATGTTGCCAAGATAAAAAGGCCTTTTTTCTTTAGACAAGATTGAAATCGTGCATTTATTTCAAGACTAAAAGCAATATGTCAATATAGTCATTTTTAGATCAAATGATCTCTCTATCATGTCTCGAAAGAATCTTAAAATACGCAAAAGGGTTCGTCAATGGAGCTTTTGATGAAGAGGAGGGAGGCACCTCTTCTCATTTCCTCCTCCATATAAGCAAGCGTACTGTACATTGATGTATTTTGGATGAATGTCAAATAAGAGCATGTCTGGCAAATGAAGCGCAGTTCTACCCTTCACGTCGACGATAATGAGCGCATTGTTACCTCGGTACATATGGCGCTCAAACTTGTAATAATAATAAAGTGCCCTGTGAGTGTTGGTCGTCCGAACTGACGCCTGCCTTCATTGAGGGTGCCCCGCTTCCTGTGGGACATTGTAAAAACCTTGAGTGAGTGAACGCGCGGGCGCACACACATGCGTGACGACACACGACCCAAGTTTTTAATCCTAACGCAGGTACTTCTATTTTTTGTTATTTTTTCAAATATAATGGGAAAAACGTGCATTTCCAAATTGTGCTTGGTTTTTTTTTTTTCGTTTCTTCAAAATTTCTCAGCATTTTGGGTTTGGAGAAATAAAAGTAGGTTCCTCGATTGAAAGGTACGGCGGCCGGGAAGTGCCAAACAACATCGCAAACTGTGAAACGACTATTTTGCTTGAAAAACTTTTTAGAGAACAAAAACGTCTTTAAAATATAGATGTCAAATTTAAAAAGCTGTATTTTAAGTTTAAGACCTTCAATAAACGGTCCATGTGCTCCCACTAGAGTATTGGAGTATGGTATTCTTATTAATATTAAGCAGATAAATCCATGTGCTTTCCCACAATCTCAGGGTGCTGCCATTTTGTCCGGTATCGCCCCCTGCTGTCGACTGAAATTGACTCGTGAATGCACTCGGGCTCGCATTGTGGGCGTCTAATTCCCAAACCCAGAAAACACGTTTGTAATACGAGCCCGAGGCCATTTTGATGTCAATTTCCGGTTGCCAGCAGAGGGCGGTGTTGAACAAAATGGCAGCACCCCGAGACGCATGAAAACAATTCTTATTCCACCTAATGCGTCTCCCAATTTTAAGACACGTTTGCCTCACATGCCGTCATCTAAACATGTGTTGCTTTCGATAAACATGGAGCACAGCTGCTTCCACCACACTACGCGCCACCTGTTGAAACCCGATCCCACAATGAAGCTTGGCGCTGCCGTCGCGTCCACCTTCAGCGTCTTCCCATCAGACGTCTGCTGTGCGGCGTTCGACAGAAAAAAAAAACGCACGTGGTGTCTTTTTGTTCGAGGCGATGGTAACTTAACACTTGTTCTTCTTGCAGCGATCAAGTGTTCAGAATAAACCCAAGTAACAACGAAGAGGTTGGCACACTAAAGACCATTCTCGAAAGCATGAAGGTAGGCTCTCTTCTTGTAATATTAGGACCCCCCGCCCCCCCGCAAAAAAATAAATGTTTGTTAACGTTAGCAATGTCATAACAGTGACTTGATTTGATGCGTTTAAGGTGGACTTGTGGCAGCCGAACAGCGTTTCTCTGATCGGTTGGAATGCGACGGTGGACGTGCACATGAAACGCAGAGACACGCAACGACTCCACGCCGCCTTAAAGCAGGAACGTATAAAATACAGGTAAGATGTTCCAAGAGTAATATTATCAGAACAATATAATACGTTTCGTTGATTAATATTTTCATTTTACAGAAAATAAGTTGGAACTATGAACGGCCCGAGAAGTCAATGACGTCAAAAAAAAATAAACCGATACTGTTTTGAAAATAGTCAATTACAACGAAACAAAAGACGTCAAGTTATATGAATAATCTAAATTTGGTCATTTAGGAGAAAAAAATACCCGAAAAGCACCATAAAAGTACATGTCTATCTTAGCGCAAACATTTTTAATCGGAGCGCTGCAGTATTCTTTATAACGTGACGTCACTCTCCTCCCCCCCGCAGCGTTTTTATCTCTAATCTGCAGCAGGAAATTGAAAAGCAGACAAGACTTCGCTCATCTCGCAAGCGGAGGTCAGAGAGTCAATACGACTACGAGATCTACCACTCCTTGGAGGAGGTAACAGTCCTTCCATGTCCCACAAAAGCCAATTACACTACTTTCATGAAACGCAGACACACGCAACGACTCCACGCCGCCTTAAAGCAGGAGCGTATAAAATACAGGTCAGATTATTCCAAGAGTAATATTATCAGAACAATATAGTACGTTTCGTCGATTAATATTTTCATTTTACAGAAACTAAGTTGGAAGTATGAACGGCCCGAAAAGTCAATGACGTCAAAAAAAAAAACGATAGTTTTGAAATTAGTCAATTACAACGAAACAAAAGACGTCAAGTTATATGAATAATCTAAATTTGGTCATTTAGGAGAAAAAAAATACCCGAAAAGCACCATAAAAGTACATGTCTATCTTAGAGCAAACATTTTTAATCGGAGCGCTGCAGTATTCTTTATAACGTGACGTCACTCTCCTCCCCCCCGCAGCGTTTTTACCTCTAATATTGGAGGGATTTCCATCAAATTTCTCACGGATATTTTTTGAAAATTCAGCGCCTGCTGCTCCTTCTATCGAGCAACATGAAATTTGGTCGGCATATCTATTAAAAGTCCACACAAAAAACAAAAAAAAGTCTCAAAAACCCATGCCCAAAATGACACAGAGTCTGCCATTTTGTATAGAGCGGCCATTTTAGGGTGGTTTTGACCTTTTGAACTACAGCTATTGTGACCAAATTGGAACCATGTCTACAATTTAAATTTTCGGTATTGCGAAATTTGATCCTGGTTCCGTCTCAGAGATGAATAGTAAACCCATACTGGGTAAAATGTATTCATGAAATTATTCCATGTATTTCAAATGGAAAATACATGTTTGTTTAGATTCAGAGATGGATGTTTGAGATGAACACAACGCACTCCGACCTGCTCAACATGTTCTCCATTGGGAAGTCATACGAAGGACGACCCCTTTACGTCCTTCAGGTAAGAAGTGCGGGGACGGTTCAAAATAAACCCTAAACAGACAACGCTTATCTGGTGTCAGCTAGGAAAGAGAAGTCGGGCGCAGAAAAAAGCAGTCTGGATCGATTGTGGGGTCCACGCCAGGGAGTGGATAGGACCGGCCTTCTGTCAGTGGTTCGTCAAAGAGGTAGCGCTACTTTTTTTTTTGTCGAAATCTATACATGAAAATACGTTTCGACCTTGCACGCTTGTGCAAATAATTAAGCAACACACGTTTATGGTCCAGAAGCAGACGTTTACAAGTTTCATCATGAACTGAAACTCTTAAAAGTCACGCCAGAGGCGGGCCAGAGCCACGCTTTTACAATTTGTTTAATGGTTGACTTCGTTTGAAGGGCACATGGCTTTGCTTCAGGACGCCTGTTTTCAGTAACGGCTTAAGGTTGTGGAAAAAAAGTATGCTTTTCATTATTGGACGTGCCAAAAGTTACAACGGTTTGTTTCTAAACAAAAGCGTTTGGCAAGTCAAGGCTTTTTCTGCTTATTAATGTTTGGGCCCCTCTCCAAAAAACAAAATCATTTTTTTCACAATTCAGCCCCCAAAGCCAATTTCTCCACATGAAATTTGCTATGTTTTTTTCCACCATGAGGAAAGCTACAAAAACTCTCAAGAATGTATGCCTGAAAAGAAACATGAAGTCTGCCATTTAGTTTGAAGCGACCATTTTGGGATCATTTTGGCCATTGTTCTTTTAATTCACCCTGGAAGCCATTTTTAGCTAGCCACATGAAATTTGATAAGCTTGTCTACCATTGGCAGGCCCACAAAAACTCAAGAACCCGTACCTGAACTGACACACAAAGTTTTGTATTTTGGTTTGTGGCGGCCATTTTAGTCTCATTTTCGCCACTTTCAGAGGTTCTTTCAAGGAAGTTCAGACCCCAAAGCTATTTTTAGCGAGTCACGTGAAATTTGGTGTGCTTGTCTGTTTTATTGTGTTTGTATTAAAGCCAAGGTGCTACTGAAAAGCAAACTGATTTGTGCTATCTTACACGAGAGAAAAAAATGTATGCTGCTAACATGTACGTAGACTTGCTGCTGTCTCCAAAATGAGCCGTTTTTCCTCCAGAAATTTGTCAGGTTGCAAATCCATTCATTTTTTTTCCCCCCGTGGCTCAGTCATAAAATACCCGTGATCAAATTTGATGATTTAATCCAGGCACGTCCAGCTCCGGTCCTCAAGGGGCGCTGTTCTGCCCGTTTTCCATCTCTTCCTGCCGCAAAACAGGGTTGGGGGGGGGGGCAGCAGCCCCTGAGGATCGAGTTTGAACAGCCCTGGTGATATTTAAAAAAAAAAAAAGTTTGATGCTACTCTTTCATAAATGCGAGAATGAGATTTCATCAAAATGTACAAAAACTCCTTGTCAAGACTGAGAACTATGTTGGACTCAGTTGTGGCGATTATTAACATTTCAGTTTTTCCACAATGAATTTAATTTGCATTTTAAAGGACATACCTGACTCGATTTGATGCTATATACAATTACAGGCGCTTAATTTGTACCGATACGACACGGCAATGAGACGACTGCTCAACCAGCTCAATTTCTACATTATGCCCGTCTTCAACGTGGACGGATACCACTTCAGCTGGACTACGGTACTTGGACCGACCCACACGTGACGATAAACACATTTTACAAGCCGGTGTAAACGGCAGGTACCTGTAGCTGCATACAGAATCTTTTTTTTTCCTCCCCCATTGTGCAGGATCGCTTCTGGAGGAAGACGCGATCCAAAAATGGCAAGTTCCACTGTCGGGGAGTGGACGCCAACAGGAACTGGAAAGTCAAATGGTGCGGTGAGTGCAGTCATAAAACACACAAAAAAAAAAAAAAAACGCAGGGAAATATTTGCCGAACACTCAAGAGGAAAAAGCAGGTCAGTATGTTTTTAACGGTATTTGCAATCAACTAAGCGCTCAGATCAATGTAATTTTAAATGAGAGTTTTCATAATTCTGTTTACAATAATCTAATATTAAATATTGACCATAAATTGAAAGAGAAAATTTATTTGAATATTCAAAGGTGGTAGGAGGGATATATATATTTTTTGCTCAACATAAATATGGAAGAAAATAAAGTACTTTAAAATTATTTGAAATAAACAACATTCCTGTTTTTTGTTGTTTTTTTTTTTGGCGTTGTTTAATGGTAGAAGTGTAAAAAGAGTCGAACCGCCACTTTGGACCTGAGCAATTGATAACGTCACTCTGCCTCCGCTATATCTTTTGACGGTCAGATCACGGGACTCTCGGTTGGCGGCATTACAGAACTGAAACTAAATACACCCAAAAATAAATAAATAAACAAATGAGAAACATCAAAATCGACTTGGACGTGCACACCCCCGTTTCGAGGGGGAAACCCTGGATGCTGAATGAACCGAAGTCTCACGAGATCAGGTGGTCCCAACCGGTAAGATTTTTGACGTGTATTTCCGCAGCGTTTGCCTGAAGAGCCTCCAGAGTGTTGTTCTAGACCAGCCGTCTCTTTAAAAACTCTCCCAAGTGCATCAGCGTCAATACTACTGCACATGAATGACCCCAGACTTGTTAGAAAGTTGTCGGGGAGAGGCCAGATCGTCCAGGTCGTCTTGCTTGCCGAGCACAGTCTCGGCATCCAGATGCTCCGGGGTCTCCGGTTTGACTTTGACGAGCTGAGATGTCAACTTCTCGATGTCGGCGAGCAACGTAGCGAGCAGATCGTCCTTCTCCCGCAGGGCCTGGCTGGTGTGCCTCTGCATGTGCTCCCACTCGGCTTTAAACCGCTGCCACTCGCTGTTGATGGCCTCCACCATGGTCTTGGTGTTCTCCTCGGCACTCTTTTTGAGCTCCTCGCATTCTTGCATCCAGTACTTGCGCACGTTGGCCGTTTCCCGTTGGGAGGCCGCCAGAGCGTCCTGTAGGTCACTGGCCTCCATTCGTTTCTCCTGCAGCTGAATCTCATCCAGAGCTTCTCGGAGCATCTGCTCTTCCTTCCGGTGGTGTTGGCGCTCCAGTTCAATCTCCCGCGTGAGAGCGGCTATGGCCGCGGGGAGTTCCTCGTCCACCAGCGTCCTGGCCTCCCGCTCCACCTTCAGCTCCTCCCTCAGATGGAAAACGGATTGTTGCAGCTCGCAGGCTTCCGTTTCCAATTTGAGGATCTGTCCGGACAAGGCGGTTTGGTCCGCTTCGAGCAGGCAGTTCTCTTTGGTCAGCTTGGCGATCACGTCGTCCTTCTCCATGACGCTCCGGCTCATGTGCCACTGCTGGCGCTCCAGTTCCGCCTTGTAGTAAACGACGGTGTCGGTGCTGTGTCTCTGGACGCTCTGGAGCTTGGCGTTGAATTGAGCCGCCATCTCCTCGGCGTGCCACTGCGCGCTCTCCCACTGAGCTTGCAGCTGGGCCGCCGCCTCCTGCTCGCGGACGCTCCACCACTGCTGCCACTCGGCGTTGACGGCCGCCACGATGTTCTCAGAGTCGTCCTCGCGGGCCCTCTTGAGCAGGTTATGCTCCTCCATCCAGTACTGCCGCACCTGCACCGTTTCCCGCTGAGCGGCGGCCAAAATGTCTTGAAGGACGCCCATCTCGTGCTCCCTTTCCCGAAGCTTCTGCTCAATCGCCGGGGCGCTCCGGTCACTCCTCGCCTCGTCCAGAGCCTGCTGGAGCCTCTGGCGCTCCCTGTGGTGACTCTGGCGCTCACTCTCCATCTGCGCTCTCAGAGCAGTGTTTTGAGCAACCAGGTCGCGGTTTGAGCTCTCGCTGTAGAAGAGCGCCCGCTTGAGGCCGCTCTGTTTGAAGTAACCTCCTTCCGACACCATTGCCTGGTGCCGTTGGTGGTGCGTCTGAAACAACGGGTAAGATTTTTGAGCCGACACAGTAACTCAACGCACAGATACATGGTTTCGAAACTGTTCGCCAAATTGTGGTCAAAACATTTGGGCCGCCTGTGACCACACACTCAACCGTGAATTACTGGCATGCATATTAGGGGGGGTCCAGAAAAATTATATGGCCCCCCCCTGAACCTCTTTACAACTGAATTTCCGGATCTCTGAGCATCCCATTTTCTGTTACTTTTAGAGGCAAAGCTGCTTTTATACCACAAGGTCCGAGTTGGCCAAATCGGGTTCCAAACAAGTGGCAACTCTCAGCCATTCGTCCCAAGATCGGTTTAATTTGCGGTCTGGGAACATCGTAAACTTTGTCACGACTGGATTTCACAATTCTCTGAGCGCTATTTCTGGTTTTACTTCAAGAAATAATGTGCCATCAGGAATGCAACTTTCCAAATTTGTCATGCATGTACGGTTCCATCAACATTTTTACAGCTTAATACATTGCCAAAAGGGGAACTCACCCTCCTTGGACAGTCTGCTATTGGCGTGCTTGTATACTCCCTGGCGCCCGCACTTGGGCTCCGACTCTCCAAATTATCCATGCTTTTGATTGCTAATTAGCCATTGTCGTTGAATAAATTTTTGGGGGTCACGAAATGGGTGGGTAAAGTAATGCAGTATTTTGGGGAAAAAAAAAAACAAAAAAAGAAGTTATGTCAATTGGGAAGGAAAGGGAGAGTTAATAGCGTCAAAGCCCTCTGGTTACAAAGGGGCGATGTAAGGAAAATGTCGCTTTGGGGGCTTTGTGATCAAGGTGCTTACACTTTCATGACACGTGTGGAAAAAACATGACCTCATCATCTACAATACATCATTCTACACTAATAATAAATTTTCGAATAATTTCTGATGTTGTGACGTCAATCACCACTGACTTAACGCAAACATCGGTGTACCTAGCATTAGCTTAGCTGGCTAACTGGGATCATAACATTTGGTTAATCAGCATGATTTGGCACAGATAAAGGTGGGATTGTTGATTTTAAGAACCCTAATTGCAAAAAATAATATCCCCAACTGTAAAAATAAAATGGATTTGCTGTGTTTCGCAGAAGAGGGGGCTTCTTCTCACCCCTGCGACGACACCTACTGCGGGCCCAACCCCAAATCGGAGCCAGAAGTAAGGGCTGTCGTCAAGTTCCTGCGCAAGCACAAGAAGCGCGTCAAGGCCTACATTTCCGTGCACGCGTACGCCCAGATGCTCCTCTACCCATATTCCTACAAGTACGCCGCCATCCCCAACTTTAACTGCGTGGTAAGACCGCCGAGTGAGGAATAATAAACTTCAGACAAAACCTATCATCAACGGAATTAAATTTTTTTTAAGGAGTCAGCAGCTCACAATGCAGTGAAAGCGTTGTATTCAGCCTATGGAGTCAAGTACAGATATGGACCTGCTTCTACGACCCTTTGTGAGTATACGTTATTGTACCTTTTGAAGTACCATTTGCAGATAGCAGCTCAAAAAAAACCCTTCAGCTCCTCTCTGGGCTTCTCAGTACAGCAGTAGTATTCGTCGTCTTCCGCAGAGGATAAAGAATATATGCCGATGAATGTATATGCTGTTACCACACATGATGCTAATTGCTAGCCTGTGGTGTTTCCCATTGTATGTTAGCACTAAACCAGTTCAGGCTTTTTCACGGCACCACTGTATGACGCTAGAAATAACCGGGATGACAATGTGAAACGTAAGGTGCAGGATTTTGCTTTCTGTTCCTCTCTGTCACAAAGACGTTAGCTCGGGCAGTTCCATAGACTGGGCCTACAGGAACGGGATCCCATACGCATTCGCCTTCGAGCTGCGAGACACGGGCTACTTCGGCTTCCTGCTTCCAGAGACCCTCATCAACCCCACGTGCAACGAGACCATGCGGGCGGTTAAGGCCATCGCATTGGGCCTGCTCAAGAAGTGCCACACGGACACCGATGCCTTCCCGTACATATGAACGCACACGCCGTGCTGTGTTTCGACCATGACAATACACAACATCAGGATGATAAGCTGCCATTGAAGCACTTGTCAACACGTTTTGTTAAAATTCAACAACATTCAAGTGTCCTGCTTGGAACTTGGGGATGCAAACGTTACAATTGCCTTCATTACTGCAACATTGTCTGGGTATCTCAGTTGCTATCTATGTGTATTTTTGTGTCATTAGCATAGGTCGTTGTACCTTTTCAGTTATTGCTCAGGTATGGATCAAAAATGTTGAACTTGTGATATATTGTGTATACCTGTGATCATGTGCTTGAATGCATTTTCTTAGACTAGTTGGGCTGCTTAGACCATATTGTTAAGAACATTTGTGGGTTCAATTCCCCTTTAAGGAACCCTGACAAAAAAAAAATAATGTCATTCCTATACTTCTTAAAACATTCAAAATAAACAAGCGTGGACAGGTCATTCTTTTTGGTAAAATAAATTGTCCTGTCATCTGTCTAGAAAAACCAAAGTAGTTATGTTCTTATTTTGCCAGTAGATGTCACTATTGCCGTGATTATACCCGTTTCTGCATGATTGTTTCTCAAGATACCACCTAGCGACCACGCACTGTAACAGCCAAATTATTCGAAGCTCAAAAAGCCACAACACCAGAAGTTGAAAGCACGATGAATATTTAGTCATTGATGTACAAGTAACATGAAATTTATTTCTATCTAAACTTCAGAACGCTTTCATTCTCCTTGGGTGAACTCAGAATTGAAAAACCAAAATCATTTGAACTCGTAGCAAACGAAACAGCAGTACTGGGTACAATCCACATCATGCACAGGGAGGTGAATTGCGACGTGATGTACTCAAACCTCGAACGCCATTGTGTCCCGCGAGCGGGCAAGTCTCCTCACTTGCCATCCGTAAATGTACTGTGGTGTAAACGTCGACAAACATTTGTGCTCACGTAGCTGAGAACAGGCCGTCGTCGCCACCTTGTCGCACCTGCGCACTGTGCTTGATTAACGTGTCATGCACACCTGTCCTCATTTTACCGTCGTCTTCTGCTCGTTATAATATATATATACACACACACACACACACAAACACATATAGGAGACGTTATATTGTCGACTTTTTAATGACAATTATGCATTCAAGTCACCTGGAAATCAAACGTCCACAAACAGAAACGAACAGAAAAAAATGACACTTTTCTGCTCCTGAGGAACACTGATGCCGCAAATGAAAAGCTTTTCAGAATACTGTACTGTACTTTTTTTTCCCAGCGGGGAATTATTACAATAATTCACACTTGTGATAATCATCATGAGGTCCAAGCTCCTGTTGTTGGTCATGTTTTTGCAAAAGTGTAACAAAAACTTTTTTTTCTTTTTTAAAGGCCGGTTATCACTGAGAGGAGAGAGAAGTGCATTGTGGGTAGTCCCTGTCTGCTGAATTTAACAGCACGGTTCAGGCACTGCCAAAGACAACTCCAGTTTGTATTTCTGTCTTTGAATGACAGTTTATAAGTACTTGTCATCTACACGCTACACTATTTGCATTTATCAATAATTGTTACAATCGTCAATATTTACAGGATGATCACGTTTGAGGTACAGTTTAAGTCACGCCAGGGTGGAATTAACGCACATATAGACACGTGTGTGTGTGTGTATAAACTTGAGCTCATCTAATTGTAATAAAATGCATTTTTTTTGTTTAATGTTTAGTAAATGTGTGTTTAACATTATGCTTATATACAATATGTCCGTATTATGGTGATCGATTTTTTTTCACATTTTTAGGGGATGATGAGTAGTAGACATGCCATTTTTGTTTGTTTTCTAATCCAGTGATTCTCAACCAATGTGCTGGGATATTATCCAATTTCACTCAGTTCCAATGAAAATTATTATTATTAGTTTTACATCAGTTACAAAGTGTCGTCATGAGCAGGTTGCAACAGAGATGGAAAGCGACTGGAAGAGTCACAGAGGGGCAGAAAGGTGGACATGGATCAAAACACCGGTTGGGAATTTTGCCATTCAGCTTCGTGTTCAGAGAAATTTTTCGAAGTAATAAACTTGATGACGCGTGTGGCGGCAAGCCAATCGATGGCTCACTAGCGAGTGGCTAGCCCGAGAAGCGATTTGAACCCAGAACCTGTGAGGCAGATGCGCTCATCACAAAGTAACCCAAAAGGTCTATCCGGTTGGGGCAATGTTTGTGCAGTGGTGCCTTGAAATACAAAATGTTCTGTGACCATGTTCAAAACTCAAAATAAAAAAAAAAGGGGGGGTGTTTTAAATAAAGGAAAATATCACCCTCTAATAGTGTACTTAATGTAAATACGTGATCAGAATAAAATGGTGCAATTTAATTTGTTGTTCCGCTCCTTCAGGTGTGCCCACCTTGACCACTGGGGGGCAGCGTACAACCGCAATCCTGCACACAAACGAACCAGCTGTTCAATGTTCGGGTGTTTTGCATTGACGTTAGCATTTAGCTAAGTGAATTTACCGAAGTAAGGCAACATTTCTGATTGTTTTAAATACACAAGCTGTAATTATGTTTTAGTTTGGCAGTAAACGGCGAGTGGGAGTGGCATAAAACAGCCTTGTCGTTGATCAGTCGCTCACGATTCGGCAAAAGGAGGAAAGTTTTGGGTCACGCATTGTGTTGTCATTTCCAAAATATCACAAGTGACTTGAAGTAACTATACAGTAGGTGTTCTTGGCTCAAGGACCGTTTGAACATCCTGCTGCCCTATGTACAGAATACAATCATGAATCATCACCATCACAATTCTGGCGCGCATCGTGAATGATTTCCGGCTCACATCTTTGGGACAGACAGTCGAGTTGTTGGAGCTGAAGACAGAGTCGGCAATCTTGCATAGAACACAGTTTGTGCTTTTGAGTGGGAAATGAGTTAGCACCATGACGGCGGCGTTGTCAATCAGCCCTTGAAGAGGAGGGTGAGTGGCGTTTTTGTTCGTGAAGGGTCATACGAGCCCGGAGCCTCTGGGCGTTATTGCTTTGAGGCTGCCGTGGCAGAGCAGCAGCGTGGCGGCGGCGGCGGGGGCCTCGGGGCGCGCCGGCGGGATGAAGACCGGGCAGGAGCGCGTGCGCGCGTGGCTCTTGCGAGCTCCTCCGGGGTGGCCGACCAGCTCGCTGACGGTGCCCAGGAGCAACGGCGGCGGCGACGGGGGGGGGGGGGCGGGGGGCCCCGGGGTCCC